CAGCATTATCTGCTACAGATCAGTCATTACTGACAGAACACTTTTAACAGAAGGCAGGCAATAGTGAGATACACGCCAAATTAGTCAGATTTCTCCAGAACCTGGTTATCTGAACAGCTATAGGACTAAAAACCAATGCATTAAAAACCCTAAATATTAATCATTTCAAATTGCAACACTTCTGAACTTCACAGTTCCTCTCTGAAATTCTTTTTAGTCTTACTTCCTTTGTTTTATGACTCAAGGCAAATGTAAGGTTTTTACTTGAAAGAAGACAATGACAGAAAAAGCAAAAAAAACCCATCAGAAAAATGCTGAAACTAAATTGTCAAATATTTTTCACATCCCCATCGCTAAGAACTACCAATTTAACAACCCCCCCACCCCATTTAGTTATTTTTCTGTAGAATGATTTGATTAAAACTGTTTTGTCCATACTTTATTTAAAAATGTTAAGAAAATAACAGTGTTCCATTCCGAGGGGTCCTTGGTTTGGCAACTTTTAAAGTGATTTTTTCTTTGCCTCAGTTCCGCCCCCCCCCCACCTTGAAGGAACAATCTTGTGAATGTAACAGGAACAGTCGTCTTCGACATGTTAACTTGAGCAGAAAAGCCAGCTTTCCTGCAATAGTGTATATCTTGATGGTCTAAAAATAATTAGAGAGATAACAATAGCTTGTTTTAATGACTGCAAGAAGTGTAGTTTAATGATAAAAGTTCATTTAATTTTTAATATTTTTTCTAAACCTGTATTTAAGTTACTCATCAATGCTACAATTAGACAAAAATCACAATGCAAACAGCAGCTCGGGAACAATTTGAATCAAACTTTTAGTTACCAACCTAGAACTTTACTAGAAGTGACAAACTACAGAAACCTATTATTGCTGTGTTACAAGTAGTTTCAACAGAAAGAGCTTTTGATTTATAAAATCCCTAACAGTTCTCTACAAATTTATTAAGCTTTTATCTACCCATCACATCCACAGTATCTCACTTATCAAAGCTGCAGTAACTAGATAACTTATCTATAATACAGTATCAAATAACACAGCCATGAAATCAACAAAAATCACATACTTTAGAATGAAACTGTATGTTCTAGTTTATCTGATTGAAAACAACTAGAAACATTATGAACAGTATACAAGTAGTCTGCAGCTCCACCGAGAGGTACAAAGTGACCACGTGAGGTCCTCAAAATTACAGTTTCAATACTTTAAATTATTTGTGACTCAAAGCCTAAGGCAGCCTTACAAGACCTCTGCTTTCCCATTACATGTTAGCTACATTATTAACATTGTTAAAACGAGAACTATGTAGTACTGTTCTGCTTTTGATATTTCTATTTGGATTTTCTATGTAACAGCTTATAAGGATTTGCGTATAGGATTGCACACGTCTATCAAGACACTGGCATTGTATTTTTGGATCCTTAAAATACTGATTTAAGCTGTGTATTTTTCACTTAAATATGAAGGAACTTTCATACCAGGTGAAATGAAACTACCTTAGTATTTCAACATTACCAAGTCACAAACCTATTTTACTGTATAAAAACTATTTTACACCCATACAACATCTCTCGTTTTAGAACTATGTTAAACAGAAAAAAAAAATAAATTCAAGAGCCATGTGTTCTGCCAGTTTTTGCTCTGTTACTATTGCAGTGTAGTTTACTCATTAACTTAACATTAGCCATTTTGAAAAATGAGTTTCAGAATACAAAGAATTGCCAATTTAACATGAAAATTGTAAACAGTTTTTCAGGAAAGATGAAGGTACTTCTGACGCTTAAGATTAGAAATAGCAGGAACCAAAAGTGTTAGTGAACTAGAGAATTCTACTTAATGCAAGAAAAAAAGTCCTTCATTAAGCACAAAGAATACAGGGATAGAGATCACTTTGGTAATTTTTCTGCCTGTCTACAGGTTTTTATCCAGTGTTATCCAATATTGAGTGGTAGAACTAATGTTTTACCACATAAATGTAAGATTAAATAGACAATCGTTGCTAGAAATAGTGTAACAGCTAGCTCAGTAAAAAACAGGGTCTCTAAATTCTAGGTGGTAGAAGCCAGAAAATGAATTTGGTTTGACAATATGTGAACATGACAATCAGCACAAAGACAAAGATGATTATTTGCCATTAGCTACTGAATGTCCATAGAGCACAGTCCTAATCTGATGTGTTCCCTCCTAACGTACGTGTAAAGCCTTACAACAATCAATGGGGAAACTGCAGAAGACCAGAGAGAACATTACCCCTCTCCAACACCCAAAATCAATGAGAGATCAGGATCTTCATATCTGCAGCTAGCTAAATGACTACTGTATAAAAGCACAGGAAGCTCTGTACTATGGAAATTTTAAGTGGCAGGAGAATAATACTGTGAAGTGTCAGAGATTAAAAAGGTAATGAATGCTAGAACATCAACACAATTTTTGGCACTACCCAAGGAAAGGAAGTAGTTCTGTCTCAGCACATATAATTTGTGTATCCCTGCAATGAAGTTACAGAAGTCAGTTACTGTGCCTCAAATCTGTCTATGGAAGGATTCAAGTACTGGAAGCTTAAAAGTTCAGTTACTACTTATTAACGTTATGCCATCATTCTTGGCAAGCATATTGAAGAAAGATGACCTACAATGTCAACGGAGAGCACTCAATATTTCTACACTGACCTGTGGTTCCTGGAAGAAAGTCAACATTCAGATCTTAGCCTTGCCCTCTTCTGTCTCTCAAATCAAAACAAAGCACTGTTAAGACCTGGAGATAAAACCCTAACCAACAGCACATCCAGGCTGATGTTACAGGTCCCACAGCACAACGCTGCAGGCATACTTCTGTGCTAACACTGAATAGCCTTCCAAATGATCAAGTTCATATGCAAGTAAAAAAAGTAGGTGTTCTTTGAAGTAAAGACCATGTGATTAACTCATTATCAACAACCTAACATCTGTACCAATTAATGTAAAGTAAGCTACATTTTGTGAGTATCTGGACTAGAGGCACAGTCAGATGCCATGTAAATGACTGCACAGTATTTCTATGCTTTCAAGCAATTGGTGTGAAGTAAGGACTTTTTTAATCTAGTACTTGTTCCAAAATTTACTTCTTGGATGCCTAAAGCATTTTAAAAACAGGGAAGTCATGTTTGGTAAACAAATTGTGAATTCAAAAAAAAAAAAAAAGACTTGGGACTAAATCTTCTGAATCCTGGGTCAAATGCATATTTGTTTCATGATACAATAAATAAGACCAACAGAACACAAAACCTTTCCTTGGCACCTTCAGTACTTAATTTAAAAAAGTATTTACTATGCAAAAATTCTTCCATGGAAATGAATTATTGTTACGATGCGCCAAGATTTCTGTAACATTTTCATATTGGTGAATTCTGTAAGTCTAAAATTCAAACAGAAAAACAACTTGACAGATGTTTTTAGTGGTACAGACTGGCTCAGAAACATGACAACCTACAGCAGGTAAGTATTTCCCACCTCTCATGGCTGATATCCCCATGCATCCAACAAACTGTTTATCTTTTTAGTATTTATTGGTATAACAATCCCCCACAGCTGCTATGGTAACAAGTTCTTAAAAACAGTAACTAGTAAATTATACTTGTGCAGATTTTTCTACCTAGCAAAAGGTAGTAACTTGCAATCAAGATATAGTACATGGCATCTCCTTTCACAACAATTTCAAAACAGTGTTAAGAACAGAACCAGATACCACCTCTCTTCCTGCACATTATGAAAGAATGCTATTGACTGCCAGAATCATCTTTAAGTACATTTATGTATTACACATGGATTACTTACTGACTATAATGCCCATCCTGTAAGATCCTCAAATGATTAAAAGAAAAAAAAAAAAAGTCATGAAAAGAAAACCCTCAAATTACTATAGAGATCAAAAATTGAAAAGCTCAAGGATATTTTACATACATAAAGGCCTCCATGCTACATAAAAAATAAGCAATAGCTCGTGCTCCTATTAACTACAGTATTTTAACCTTTGATGAATCTGACTGTTACAAAACACAGAAGGAATCTTAGGGGGGTCAGAACAAGCAAGGAAGAAAAAAATATTATCTTCCTGCAGTTGAGGAGAAAGTAGTATTCCATCTCACCTTGTGATACTGCCAAGGAGTTCCTAAGTTTTGCACAGAGAACAGAAAACGTTAAAGAAGCATGGAGAAGTTGTCAATGGTCTTGTAATGGTAAGAAGTAAAATCTTGCCTTTTTCTATAGCTAAAACCATACCATAAAACCAGACTTATTGCTTACTATATCCAAGAAAAATGTCAGCCTCATATGAGGATAAATAATAATTAAACTAGTGGTCCAAATTTTGTTTTAAGAAGTTGTTCCCAAGCACTAAAATGATACATAAGTAAAACACTTTTTATAAAGTGGAATATATGAACTGCAAAAAAAATTTAAATAATTAAAAGTAGACAAACTCTACTGGGATTGAAACAAAATGCACATAGATTTAAATAACCAGATTTTAACCCACAGCACATAAATGTTGTCAGTATGTGGGAAAATGGCTTTTACTTTGTAGCTAATAGTTTAAAGTTTATATAATCCAGAAATTAAATGTTAATTTTTCCCTTCAGTAGAAGTATGCTGGTTTTCAATCTATGTTAGTAAGCAAAGTTTATACAGCAGGCTGTCTATCAGAAATCATCCCTTTGTCCTGCAACAGTATTGTTATTAAGAAAGGAAATGCAGGATAAGGTAATGGTTTCACGTGTTTTTACCTGTCCAAACCACAAAATTTCATTTTATTTCTTTACAAAAAGGAGTGGTATTTTAACTTGGGCATTTTCAAGCAAATACTATGTTAGGAAGAACATATCCTCCACATGACGGGTGTACGTTAGCCAAGTAGATAGCTAAAAATGTGATTTACAGGATCTGTAGAAGAAGGTGGTATAATAATTTTATCTTCCATTCCATGATCTTTTCTAGGATGAAAACGAGAACTTCATGTATATTGAGGTTTCGGACTCACAGACGAATGGTGTTAAAAGTTTCTTCTCACAGAATGTGACCTCAATTCCTAGAGAGAGGAAAAAATGCTGTGTTGTTTCCTCTGTTTCAAAGTGTGTCCCATTTACTACATTAATAATGCTTCACTGAAAAGTTACAGTTCATTTTGATATTGCATCAGCCAGACAGACTTAGTCGAAAAAGGAAAATTGTATTTCCATTACATACATAGATGATGTCAATAGTGGCAAAAAAGATCTTCCTTTAATTACAAGTATGGAAGCTTAGAATGAGTTCAGAATTAATTTACTTAAAAAAACCAACCAAACAATTTTTTTTTGTTGATCATATAGCTTTAGTAAAGTATGTCAAGTTATTAAGGCAATTGTATCCTCTTTCTGGTTGGATAGGGAGAATTTATTTTTATAATACATTACAGTGCAAAACTATTTAAGCAAATCTGTGGGTGGGTTTTTTAACTTTTAGATTCTCTGTAATGTAGATTAGAGCAATGCGTTACTATGGAAATTTAAAATGATGCTTACAATATTTTTTCAGTAGCTAAAACTCAGATTTATAAAACTTAAGCTGAATAACTGATAGCTGGTCCTATTTGCAAACTAACAAATAGGCAAAGGACTGATTAAGTAACTTGTTAGTGAATGCCAACAGCTGCTGACAAAAGGATGCCAAGATCCAGAAAACAGGGCTACCATTATAGGTGCTGGCAAGAATAGTTTCTAGAATACTTGTACTATTCTGTTTATTCCTCCTAAAAGCAAATTATCTTATAGTCTCCCTTTGTTCCTCAGCTGCTCTGTATCCAGTTTGTGGAACTTTTATCTACTTAATTCTCTTCCTTTAACCAATCTGAGTCCTTTCTTCCCATTCCTATTATTATCATAGGATAGACTCAAACTATCTTTTGTTTTCCAACCTTACCTTCTCAGTTCAGGCCTTTTCAGCACTTTAATTTTTTTTTTGTTTTGTTAAACTTACCCATCCTTTTACCCTCCTTTCTGGCTCTTCAATCTCAAGATTTCAGTTTCTTTCCATTATCTACTAGCTCCACATCATGTTGTGCATTGCTTTCCTGAATCTATAGGTTCCATGGCCATCTAGTGCCAGTCTCCCTGCCCACTTTAGCCTTCATTACATCAACCTTACAGGACTTCAGTCTCCATCTATTTCTTTTACTCTTTCTTTAGTTTTGACTCCCATTAGAACATGAAGGACACAAACACATTTTCCCTTCTCTACTGTCTGGTCCCAATAGAAAAGAACTACGCTCAGTTTCACACTGGCGAACTTCTAATATTTTTTGAAAGCCACATCTGGGGATAAATCACACAAGAAGTCACATCTTAATAAATAAGAAGCCCCTGTTACAAGTCACTGGGCTGTTTAAAGGCTAGCAAATAAGAAATGAACATAGATTTGAACCCGTGCAAAACATGTATTCTCCCCTAGCTTAATTTTATTAAAATACTAATTCTTTAGAGAAGTGTAAGCAACTAGTAGCAGCACCTTTTCACAATAGCATCGTTAAGCATGTGCCATGAATACAACTCCATTAATACAAACCACCACATCACATGAAATACGGAGAAAAAGGGAGAAATTTGAGTTGTCAATAAATGAATTAAACCAGTTTCAGAAAAAAAACCATAATATATACATTTAAAGTGCTGAAAATTTCCCTCCCTGTTGAAGGAAAAAAATGATGGTTAATATATACATGATTATCCCAGGAATGACATGGATTATCTAAAATTTGTTTTACATAAGAGAATTATTAGGAAACTTAGAAACTCACAGGAAGTAGATAAGTAATATTGCAGACTATGCTAAATTCTATCTCAGCATGTTTTATTATTTACCAATTTTTAAATAGAGAGCATATTGCAATGAAACAACTGACCCCAAGTTTCACAACAGGCAGCTGCTAGCTGGTATGTGGATGATGGATCTCAGCCACATGGGAAGGGCTTCACAAGAAAAATCAGCAGAAGTAGACTAGAGCTGCCCAAATGGTTTAATACTGAATGCTCCATAGTGGCTGTCAAGTAAAGAGAGAGATAACATACATATCAGAGAAAGCAAACAAAAACCCCACTAAACTGGAATGAGAACAATCAGAATAGCAAAAGACGCTATTGTAAAGAACAGAGAAGGAAACAATGTGAGAAAAAAGCATGATATCTGCATCTTTCTGTGTTAACATAAAATTAACAAATATGTTTTTGGTGGAGTTTAAAATATCCCTTTTTACAGGAAACAGACATTGCTACAGGTGGTGACAAGTCTCCTCTTAATCATATATGATGACAATTTTCTAATTTAGATTCACGTTTATGAAACTAAGGTAACTTTAAACAAAACATTTATTCTCTCTCTCAATTTCACTGCATATGTAAATAAAAAAACCAAAACACTTACCTATACAGGAAATAACATTGTAAGGTTTAATGTTTTTGTTCCAGATGGAATATCTTACAATAGCACACAGTACTAGTATTAAATTACTATACTTTTCTCAAAGTGTTTACACCAAGACTTCCACTAATAAAAACCACAATTTATGTATATATACATTCATGGGTATATATACAAATATGTATGAACAGCTATACTGCAGCTGGAAAAGATGACTAAGAATAACTAGAAGCATTAAACAAAACAAACCCCACCCAGAGACCCACCTCCATGTGTCAGAACCTTTTATGCTTTTGCCTGGTTTATGTAGACTGTGTTGCTCAGCTTCTCAAGGCTCACGGGTCTCCCTCACACACACACAATATCCATGAACATTTACCAGGCTAGTGCCTCAAAACTCAGGATAAACCATCCAGCAAAACAAAAATTTAACTCACAGGTATTTCTCCTAGGTTTGAAACCAGAGAACATGAATTTCAATCTTCCCTCAAGTTTCTGCTGTTACTGTAGACTACACAGATCTTACTGCCAAACACAATCTCATATCTGTCCTCTAGCAGCATTCAAACATTAATCTCCATGTAAGAGGATAACTTAAGATCTGAAACACTGCACAAGATCCAGTAGAGATGGAAAAAAAAAAATCACGCTTCCTAAAACAAGCGTCACCTAGCAGCTTTTGAGAATCAACGTCACCCTCACCCATTTGTATAGATAAGAAGATGAAATCACTTACACATAACATGAACAAAACATGCTAAATCCCCAAAATAAAACACCTTCAGGTAAATAGAAAGGATCATTAGCAAACACGTAAGGGGAGGGGATTAGTATTGTTGGTTCAAACTTGATCTTAAATACCAAGTTTGGAACTAAAAAAAGTTTCAGTTGGAAGTCAGGGAATGTTTTCTTCTAATTTTGAAGACTATTACAAATTTTGTACTAAAAGTTACATCAAAGTGCTATTTAAGTGTTGGAATAGAGACAGTGAAAAATAAATTAAAGAGTTGCCAGAACTGAGGCTTCCTTTGTTAACTGCTAAATGGCTTACATGAGTAATGAACCGAGTTACCTTTTTATAAATTCACAACAGCAATGGAAACAACAGGTGAAAAATGTAGGATTTTTTTTATTCAGTAAAGATTTAATCCATTTTGTTTGCTCACCCTTGTGACTTCATTAAAACATCACTGCAATGCATGCTCTGTTTTGAGCAGCATCTAACAGCTGTAAGTGGTCTACAACTGCCAAAAATATCTGGAATTAGCTGTACCCTACCCACCATATGATTTACAGCTCCTACTAAAGCATACATTTATTCCTAATACAATTCCTAATACAATTCCTAATTCTTCAAGGTCAACTGGCAAATTACCTTCCAGGTAAGGTTCTTATTTTAGGCAGCTGCTCTCTCTCATACAGCCACTACTTGGAAATTTTCAAGCAGCAGAGATACATTTGTTGGGATATTTTACCAAGATTACAGCCAGCAGGCAGTATTTTTATGCAGCTGGGGAGCAGGTGGTAATGACACAACCACTTGCTTAATACATAGCACTCTGCTGTCAACATTTGCTCTTTTATTTCAGTCATCATTGAGCACTCAGCCAGTGACAGACAATACAAGCTGATCACACTTGTTACACATGGAATATACTCAAAACTTTAAGTGGTATGTGAAAAGGTAAGGTGAAGTGTGAAAAGGACACATTATATTCCATTACTAATTACTACTAAATGAAGCTAACTAATAATTTAAACTTGTCAAAAACTATTCAGCATCATCTTGTGCTGAATACAGTTATCAGAATTCAGCAACTCTTTGTAAAGATTTAACTGTAAGGATTAATCTGTGAATCTGCTCGAGACCTGAACAAAGCAGAGTCAATTATTGGTAGCAGAAGACTTCTGAGATAACAGGTAAGAAGGAACAAGAAATACAGTGAAGGAATGGACAAGAGTAGCAATTTCATGCTCGGTTTCATCAAGTCTCAATCTTCGCTGCTAACACAAGTCTTACTTCCTCTATCCTGTCCCCAACTTCTTGTACAGGTACAAGAGTTTGTGTAGTTGCTTGACAAACTGGTCCAAGTTTAAGTTAATGGTTTTTGCGTGGTGGGAGTCTGGCTTCATCTTTTACCTACATCAGTTCCCTGACCTGGTTTACCATATTGCCTCACAAAAACCTCTACCAGCACAGGAAATGAGTGATGTGAAAAACTGAATGAATTGCTGGGTTATGCCAGTTTTGTCTGCGTGTGAAATACCTTCTAAAGCTACAAATCTCCTTTATAGCTTTAGGAAAAGTAGGTATCCCTGCTCATGACATGGGGGTTGGAACTAGATGATCTTCAAGGTCCCTTCCAACTCAAAACATTCTACAATTCTATGAAATAAACATAGAAAATATTATACCAGGAGATAAGTTAAGGGTCTGAATTTGCAGCTCATTTCCTAAGCCACAGTAACCAAACACTGTTACCATGCATGTACATATTCTACTATAAATTAACATATCACCTATTGCAGAGTAAACTGCTTTGCTCTAAGGTAAAGCATGGTACTATGCTAATTACTGCAGAAGAGGAAGAGCTATCATGCTCTAGATCTACCTTGTAACTTACTCCTCACTATCTTGTTCATATAGCCTTGGTCCTAGAAAAGACGAGAGTCAAGTTTCAAGGTGAAAAAGCTTGTTTCTCTAAGTATGTACTTATTTTTGATTCTGAAACTACTATTGCTTTTTTGTTTTCATATACTGTTAGAAAATGGAATATAAACTGGAAATGATTACTGTGTTACACCAACTCTCTTCCTTTACGTATTAAAAATATAACTCACTCAAGATGAGTATTCTCAAATTCATATTCAGCTTCTGTTTTTTAATTGGAGCACTTGCATTTTAATCTAAGACAACAAAATGTCACAGCCCCCTCTACTGGAAATATTTAGTAGATATTGTTACACAGTCTGGAAAAGAGATTCTTCTCTTAAAAGAAATGTAAAATAAATGAAAAAATATGTATGAAAGCCTATAATATGGTTTCAATTAATTTGTAGTTAAATAAGCATCTTTCACAGAAGAAAAAGTGCTGTAGTATCAAGTAAAACTACTGAAACGTTTAGTCCTTTGTTATCAGGCAAATCTAGGCTAAGTCTAGTTTCAACATTATTTCATATGTTTTGTTAACAGCCTTATTAATTGAGGCAAAAGGACCTTAAACTGGGACCCAAAATACCCCAACGACTTGTGTTGGGTGACATGGAGGAATCCCAATTTAGAATGGCCATTCAAAATCAGAACTGCACAGAAAAACACCCACAGGTGGGCAACCAGGACAGTTTTTCATGCTCTGTGTTCCCAAACACCATCTCACCCAATGTGAAGTGCTTATCTAAGGCCACAGGTTAACAAATTCATCTTCTTAAGATCCAGATACAAGGATGTGTAACAATCATTTCAAATAACTGAACATGGTTCAGTTTTTTCTCAAAATACATTTTTCATTTGCAGTGTTCTTTGTATCTCAAGTTTTTAAAAAAAAGACTAGTCAATTTTTTGTTTTAGTTTCTCCAAATAGTTCCAAAATAAGTATTACTTACGTCCTCTGTAACAAAACCTCAAGTGAAGAAAAATATCAGTTTCTCTGCAACGTTTCTGTTTGCTTTATTTATTAATTCATTAATAAAAGGCACTTCCATCTTTGTCCCTCTTCTCTTACTGTCTCCCTTCAGGAAAGGGGACTATAAAACTACCATGTTTACTTTAACTATCTTAGTTTGATACTCACAGGTGCAGGCATGGCTACAGCACTCTGGGCATAAGGCTGGTGATGTGGTGCTTGAACTCCATGATCAGAATACAGCTGGTAAAAAAGAAATATATAAAAAAATGAGCAGAAAAGTTTTATTTCACAACGTTATCGTTTTGCAAACCTTTCACATGAATTGAGATTCCTTAAAACTTCGAATTGTGGGCTATGTTTATCTAAACTACTGACTTTTTAAAAAATTAAATTTCAGTATTTAAATCTACACTTTCCCCACTATACCAAAGTTTGGTAAATTTAGTTTATCTACATCAGTGTCAAAAAGCACTTTCCTTAACAGAAGTAGCATACTTCTCTACTATAAATCCATCTCAGCTCTAATTGCAACAGTGTTTAAATGTGTAGATTAGTATATTGAAATGTAATTCCAAGCATTATTGCACTTACAAGATATTTACATACAAATAATATACAGGCTTTAAACTGAATTTTACACCACCTTCTGAATTTTCACATACTGCTTCCTCTTAACAAATTATGCAACCTGTTAACTGAGAGCATGTTACATCCAAATATTCCTTAACTAATTTCATGTTTTTCTTTGTATTCACAGATTTCAAGTTTCTGTGTATATGCTGATGTCTAATTTATGAAATACAAAAACTAGTATTATTGATAATACAATTTATGATTATAAAATAAATAGAAATTTATGCACTTTAAAAAAAGAAGAAGAAAAACCCCAACAACCAAAGTTTTGTATTATTCAAGACCTTTGCAAGGAAATTAAATTACTTGGGTATGTCAGGATTTCTCATTTAAGATGTCTAAAATATGACTTTTGGAACTTCACTTGTGTAAAAATATTTGATTACTGTCCTAATTCACTATTTATTTTGGCATCCCTGTTAATGAGGAATGCATTATCAAAGAGGAAAGTACCAGTTAACCATAATACATTTTCAAGTTTATAGTAAGCTTTTTTGTAGCAAGTTATTTACTGTCATTTTTAATATCCAACTATAAAAGAACAGCCTTTTTGTACATTAAGACTCTCTCCAAGATTAGAAATGCCATTGATACAGAAGCAAAAATATTTATTTTTAGTCATTCAACTACTCTTAATTCATTCTGATCTTAGAATATTTAGAAGTGAGCTTCTACACACACAGAAAACACAGAAAAAGAATTATTTCAGGAAACTTACAGCTTGGGTAGACTAATGTAGCATTCTGAAGCACCCAGCTCCTATTTTATTTAAGCTTTATTTCCAAAAAAACCAAATTGCCTAGTCTTTATACTGCTATCTGTCATACACCTGTGACCCTCTAAAATATTTCAGAATCAAAGCATCCTTCTAGAAAACTGGAAGAGATACTTGAGGACAACTGAAAATGATTTAACAGTAACAGTGTGGGCATGGAGATAAGTACAAGGAACAGCTGACTTAAGTGCTCTGAACTGCCTGTGTTTAAACAAAAAGATTACGTTTTTCAATTACAGATAAATGCTTCGACTGTAAGCAATTTTTTTAAAATAAAAATACCTCAGGAACTGCAGCTTCCACTAGGACAGGAGGTGGTATACATCCACTTTCCTGGGCAACCCCTACTGGCTGATAAATTACTTCAGATGGTTGCAGATACAAGAATGAAGGTGAAGAGGCAGGAGACTGAAATAAAACACATTATTTTCATGAGCTATGATTTATGCACTATAAATACCAAAGCTTATTTTACAGTCTTCTTTGCTACATATGAATGAAGATAAAGTTTTAAAGGAAAGTATCAAATTCATCTTTGGTAACCTAAAGAAACTAAGTGAGAAGGAAGTGCGTAGAAAGGTCAGATAGCAAGATAAAACAAAGATGTCCTTTAATAACTTTTACATATTTTTCAGATTTTATTTACATTTTGGAGAGCATTGTTAGAAAAATCCTAAACTTGTGGAATTGAGACTTACTCTCGTGACCACAGAAACATAATACAGTTTAATTTTTTTCTTGCAAGAGTGTTACATAAAAACCAAGCATTTTTGTTTTAAATTAAAACCCACTGTATTCCTGTAACTGAGCACACAGATTGCAAAGCAGCAGACTGACATCTATTGATAGATTGGAACTGACCGTAACTGGACAAGGCTGGCTACTACTAAAGTAATGAGGACACTGTGCTAAAGTTGAAGCTTAAGGGACCTGGTCCTCCTTTTAGCTTCAAGCTCTTCAAGTTCCTTGAATGACAAGATTTCAATATGAAGCTGCTCTGCTACAAATATCATAAAACAAATAAAATCTCCCCTCAAAACTACCAAGGTAGCAATTAACCTCCTATTTCAAGGGTCTGGGTCTAATTTCACCATACTCGCATGTCTACATGCCTCTGCTAGCAATGCTTCAATGAAACATCACAGTCAGTACCAGTTAATGAGCTAGTTAATACTAATCTCTCCTATCAGGAAAAATATGGCAGTTTTTACCTGCTTCTGAGAACTGATTAGGTAATTTAATACAAACTTTTTGCCAGAGGGAGAGAGGAGGGAAACAGGAAGTGTTGCAAATGCGTTGCTAAAATACAGCACTTAATATTTATTTCAACAGTGCTGTGAATAGGGGGAAATTTCACTGTTACACAAGTGCACCATACTTTTAAACTAGACACAAACTAATGGTAAAAGGCTGCAACTATCAACTGTATTTACCTGTGGAACAGACCACTGACTTGGAAGACACTGTGTTGGTGCCTAAGTTCAAACAAAAAAGATATTACTTACGTGATTAAGACCATATGCATACACATACTAGAATTCCCAACATACTAGAATCAAAACCATCCCAAGTCTATAACAAATTCTTAACTAAAAAGAAGATAAATTATTTTCATAAGCCCCCAAATAATTCAGGAACATAATTTTGTCTACTTCCACCCAGTCTCTGCCTTGGGCATTTTCTAAGCTTCTAAAATACCAAAGCATGTAAGAAGCATGCCTAATTAGGAAAACAGAAGATATAAAATGCAGCTGGCTTTCCAATACACATTAAAAACATGGACACACTGCTTACACTCAGTAGTGGGCCACCAAGATGATTAGGGGATCAGAGAATACACATATCATGATGCTGAGAGAACTGGGTTTGTTCAGCCTTGAGAAGGCTAAAGGTAGGAGGGGATAATTACTGCTGCCTACAACTACCTAAGGGAGAGTGGGTCATCATTATGACTGAGCCAGATTCTCATCACATGTTCAAAGCACAAGAGTCAACAAACACAGGCTGGAACATTGAAAATTCTAACTAGTTGTAAGAAAAAAGTCTTTTACCATGAGAAGAGTCAAATATTGGAAAAGGGTGTCCATAAAGACTGTGGTATCTCCATCACTGTAGATATTTAAAATTCAACTGGACAAGTTTCTGAGAAACCTGATCTTATCAGCCCTGCTTTGAGCAGGAGTTTGGCTTAGATGATAGAAGTTAAAGATGGTACTAAGCCAGTTGGTCTAGCAACACCAAAGAAAGTTTTAATTTATTACATTTTCATGTAGTAGAATAAATTGTATTCTAGCAGAAAGCCTTCCATTAAATTAAAATCTGTTTTATACAAATATTTTGAACAGTTTTTTCTAAGAATAAAGAGGCCTAAGACAGTGCTACAAATAAAACTGCATGGCTGGAAGGAATATCAATGGTCTGAAACCCATTTTCAAACAGTTACCTGATAATGGTACGTAGGAGACTGATAAACTGGTTGGACTACTGTCATAGGTGAACTGGAAACAGAGCATGACTTAAAAAGAAAAAAGTTACAAGTCTTAATGCACCAATTTCATAAATTGTCACTCATTAAGAACAGCTCTGAAGTACTATAATGCTGAACCACCTCCCCTCCATTTAAAAAATGGATTTACCAGTTTTTGACTTACACTTAAGATTCTTCAAAACCACTGTTTCTAAGAGTCTACGTTAGAGATGACAGAGTCTTTGGCATATTTACTTAGCCCTTTCCAGAAAGGGCTAGGCCATCACTACCTAGAGATGCTGAATCTATCCACTACCCTGACCACTTTTGTAAACACTTAAGGCAATCTAAGTTGTCAGTGATATATTCCTACCCTCTTCCACAGCCCCAACTCAATCTTTCCTTTTCTATTCCCTTCCACACACCAGCCCCAGTATTCATCTGATTTGACAGTGAACCAGTTTAGTGAGCTAAGCAAGCTAGAAACCTGCCTCGGTTTTGTGAGTGCCCAGTTGAGGGTCAGAGAAGCATCACTGAAAGAAAGAAGAGAAGAAATATACGGCCATGGCAGAGCACTGTCAACCTCTAGTTCCAATCTGTTAAAGCTAGCATGTGCAACACCTCTGTAATAAAATTCCCTCATTCCTGCAAATATTTGTGAAGGAACAGCTCCCAAAACTACTTTAATTCATTCTACACTGTATGAAAATGAAGAATGCAAAATGGGAGAAAAAAGAAAAGGAGATCCATTTGCACTATTATACATGCAAAATACATGTATCAAAAGGTATCAGTATCTTTAATTTGATTTACGTTTTCCATAACACCAAGTTTTCAGGTTTTTTCCTTATTTCTTTATATAGGTACTTTCCTAATGATGAAAATTAAGAATATGTAAACAACTGAAACAAAAAGAGGCAGCACTATTTGTAATTTGAAAGACTGAGTGCTATTTGTTTGAAAAGCATTGGATTTGAGCTAGGGCACCAGAACCAAAGTTCAGGCCTAGAACACAAAAAATATCAATTGTTTTTTTCCAACAGATAGGATTTGAGCAAAGTCTCTAAAACTATACAGTATGAACTTCAAAAAGGCTTTCTAGATATGTGAACAGATGTTTCTGCTTATCCTCTAAAGTTGAGAAGGCACTATGAGGCACAGGATCACACTTCTGTTAGAAGAGCAGACATCTTAGAAGTTTTAAGTGATTAAACTGAGGTTAAATACTGAGAGAGATTCTACAGTGCCAAAATAAACAGAAAGAACCTATTACTGCCCCCATTCCTGTTTAGGGAAAGTTTGGTTTTATTTATTAGTAATTCTTCTATTAAGCTTTTCCCCCCAATATGTGTAGGGATTTTCCACTCATATATAGAGATGGTATCTACAGCCTCTGTGAATGCTGTTTTACAAAAAATTAGTAGAGATTCAACCCCTATGTAGGTCCTGTGCCTTATGCAGATCCCACTAGCCTTGCAATCCTTCTCCCTCTGGTAAAATAGAAGTGACTGTGAGTTCCTTCTGTGCTTCTCAAATTCTGTTCAAGTTCCCCAAGCCTACTAAAGCCAAACAATCTATTGAATTATCTTTCTCCTAAAACAAGCAGTATTCTTGAAAAAGAGTATATGAATGATTAGAAAATTACACAAGTTCACTTTTGCTTTGTTTATCTAGTACTACCCTCTTTTCGTCCTCATCATAATAGTTTGCAGCCAAGAACACCTCACTCTCAGAGGAATAATAAATGGAGACAATCAGGGGTCATAAGCACCAACAGCTCCATAGTAAAACAAAACTTGGGCCCACGCTGGTTCTGAACTACCCTGTCCAATAGGTCACATCAAAGCAAAGTCGCCTGCAGAAGAACAATAAACTTAATATTTTAAAATCACAAAATAAACAGACTAATATAAGGAAGCTATTTAAGCATCAGATGTGAGCCATAGCCAAAGAAACTAGAAGCAGAAGGGACCTGAAAACACTGCACTCATCCTGGTACATAGAAAAGTATATATACAAAAATAAACTACTTACTTGCCATGGCTGTGGAACAGAAGCAACTTCAGATGTATGAAAATAAGCCATTCCATTATGGTAAATATAAGGATATCCACTTGAAGTAGTTAAGTACATTGTTCCAGCTTCTGGTATTACAGCAAAACCTGGAATTAATATTTTAAAGTTTATTTACCTTTTTTTTTTTTTTTTTTAAGATGTGTAGGTCATATAAAAGAGAAGAAAATATAATTTCTGATCTTCAGAGAAGCAGAACACCCAAACACGAGGCAGTGTACCTAGTGCCATCTCAGTTCCCCCCAAAACAAAAATCATGAAAGCAGATGGTCACAGATGGGAAGGGTTTCAGAAGACAACATGCATATAAATTACTAAACACAGATTAACTCCAATTACCAGCATATATATATATATATATAAAAATCTTCAAATCTCCAAAAGTAACTTGACATTGTAGGAGATTCGCTGGTAACCTCCACATATTCATATGAAAGAGGATCCAAGCACTAAAAACAACACACTTATTTCACTACAAGGTGCTCCCTGGCTTCTGCACATGCCAAGACTGTCTTTCTGTGATTGCACATCAGCTGGCAAAAGTATAAACTGGTACGTCAGCAACAGGGACACTTCTTAGCAATGTTGCCGCTAAGGCAGAGGCTATAAATGAGCAGGGTCTGATCCCAAAGCAGAGTTCCATCTCCACAGCCCTCTTAGCAGGTTACTGACAGCAAGCATTGTTTACATAAAGGGACATCTATCCATATGCAGAGGTGGTTTATCTTTTTCAAACACTGCCTTTGAAATCACCTAGACCCTATTTCCGTCTGCATTTTGGGGGAGATAGGACAGGACTTCATGTTTCTCTAGAACTTTAAGTCAAACATAAAGATAAATTTCAGTTCCAAATATAAGATGACTTCTGTAAAAAAAGGGAAGTTAATTCCATAACTGAAATCGAAATCTTGAATCACATTAAGCAGTAATGTAGTATGGAAAAAAAACTCAGGAAGAATACAATACGAAGAAGAGAACTGAGCAAGATTTAGGTTTTCATCTCCTTTGCAGAGGTAAGCGCCATGAGGAAGTGCCATTTAATGGAGAAACACAACACCAAAGAGATTACTAGAATGCTAAGTGGAGGATAAAGAAGGGTCCCCCAGTGACTCAAGGGCCTTTATCAATGGCAAGAGTTTGACTAACTCCCAGAAAACCCTGAAGACACTAAGATACAATAAAGCTGAAATACTATCCATAGACAGGGCAGGCTAAGATATGATAGTGTTAAACAGACCTTAGAAAAATTAGAGGCTACTTTAGCTGCAGTAAGCAACACAGAATAGTAGTTACTGATACCTCAAATGATGAAACCAACAGGATGCCATGGCAAATAATCCTGTCCACTCTGCTAACTACCAATTACACTGCACAGAATTTCTGCTATGGTCGAGTATGCCTCTTGCAAAGAAAAAGGAAAAATTCTCCATCAAACTCATTGTGACCAAAAATGAAGTAACTTGGGGGGAAGGATAGCTGTCTGAAATTCTTCCAGCCCACAACAATTCATTATTCTTTTTCCAGTTGTTCATGTCTGGTTTCTACTTTACAGCTTTTAGAATACCTATTGTCACAACCCAACCAACCAGCACAGTCTGCTTTGTCCTGTAGAATCTGTGAGGACAGTCTCAGTGTTCAGATTTGAGGTTCTGCCTGGCAACTGACAGAAATTTCCATTCAGTTTGTTCCTAGATAATCTTTTCAAAGAAAGACAGTCAACAACATTAAGACAGATAAAAGAACCAAAGATCATCAACCTGATTACTTGGACACTTCCCCTGGCACACATTTACTTCCACTACAAACCATTCTGAGCATATTCCACACATGGCATCAAGGCAGGGCACAGCCACGCACATCTTAGTTAAAAGCTTATGTTCATAATGACACTCACAGAATACACATGTGCAAGTAACGGCATCAATGTAGGGCAGAGCCACGCACATCTTAGTTAAAAGCTTATGACACTCACAGAATACACATGTGCAAGTAAAAATACATACGGGAACTCCGTATTTGTTGTTTCCTTATTGCTGGACCAATATTCAATTTTGTATCCTTATAATTAAGTTTTTTAGTCTAGAATGGAAGGAAAAAAAGACTTTCAGTATGTGTATTTCCTATACATATCTAAGCATCCAACAAACAAAAATCAAAAGTTGTCAAGGCACTTAGTAGGTTTCACTCTCCCCTGCTTTTTATTTACAGTGCATCTCAAAAAAAACCCAACAGCTATACCAATTCTTTTTCTATCCTAACCTTAGGCTTCATACACAAAATTAATCATTAGTAATTTCAAGTATTTATTACTCCTCATGGAGCCTCTTGACTAAGAACTATAATTTACAGATTTATTTCATTTTTTTTAGTTTTAACCTTTCAGGTGTTTACTGCTCTTATAAAAGCACAAGTGTACACAGATAATTTCAAGTATAAAGGTTAATTTTTTTTTCATGCTCATGACATTGTTTTATAAAATACGAAAGGAACAAGTAAGCCTATGAAAATGTTCATATTATAAAGACTGAATGTAAAAAATCCCCACATTCACTCAGGACTGCTTTAAAACTTCCTTACATTCAGGTTAACAAAACATAAAAGCACACTAAAACAGATATCCTAGTAAGGCCAAACTATTGCAGAAGAATTTTTTTTAACAAAAAAGTGCTAGGTGCAGACAAGCAAATCTATATTCTCTTCCAACTGAGAGTGAGCATCAGGTAAATTAAAACCTTGCTTTTGTTTTTAAATTGACATTGAACTCACTAGATGTTAACATAATGGAAAGGAACAGGCTAAATCAACAGACTTTGTTGCCAGTGTCTCTTTAACGCTGCTTTGCAAAACCTAGAAGGGTTCTGCTTCCCTGAACAGCTACGCAAGAGAGCGTGAACACTAAACACTACCACATTACCTGACAAAGTTTTCAGCTTTGATTTTGATACATTAATTTTCAATGCTCAGTATTTTAACAATTTAACCAGCTTTATATTTGGGAGAAGGGAATCTGTAAGCCTTGGATATTATCTTCTGCCCCCTCCTGGATACCTTCACATGTATGAATAGATCCTGACCAACAGATCTCCCCAATACACTCTGAACAAAACATGGAGCATACATTTACAAACAAAATAAAACACAAAACCCCCACCAAAACCAAACTGAAGAGCTAACATACAGCTGAAAAGCTAACTGTGTCTCAGTGCAGGTTCGACAAGGAACATCAAAAAGGTGACATAGCTAAAAGGAGAAGCAACAGTTACGTGACATAAAATGAGCTTCATTGTTTAAGACTTGGAGTGAATCTAATTATTCCTGAAAATAATTACATCCGCTCTGACAATTAAACATGTAAGAATAAAAGACAGCAGTTATCTTCCCCAACTCCCCACAAGATCTTAACAGCAATGGTTTTTCCTAGTAAAACAAATGAAAGCAATGGTGAAGGACAGAGTCTTTATAGCTCTATATGTACTATAGACCACATACAGACTAAGAAAGTAAAGACTGTATGTCAAAGTCAAGAGCTCTACTATGAACTAGCAACTCCCTTGTGTAGTTCCAGATCTCAGTATAAATCTTGTCTTTGATTTCTCTAAACCATTCATCTTCTTAACTACACAGACCAAACTTAACAGATCTTCTAATGCAAGCCAGCAAACAGAAGAGGACCAGACAACCAGTGCTACTTAGTATCTAACATGAAATGAAGTATTTAAGAGATAATAACAAGGACTACCACTTACCTCTTGTAAAATCTTCTGTGCATCTTCTTGGGTTTCAAAAGTAATGAAGCCATACCTAAATAAAAATTACTGAAGCTAAGTCTCTGAAGTTCATATTTACATATATTGCATATTATCACTTCATATACAGTACAAGTCACATTACAAGGTAAACTAATGGGAAAAAATTCATCATGTATTTACAGTAACAACTATAATCTTAAATTAAGATCTGTCAGTCTACTTACTAATATATTTACGTACATGCTCACATATTACTGTTTCTATGCAGAAAATGAGTAGCCCATGTTGCAAACTACATAAAACTACTGTTCTTGTTACTCAGTGTTAAGTCTTTAGTTCCTTCATTTCTATTAAACAAAGATTCTGATCTGAAGGTCTTGCTTGTTACAGGTGCCCAAGATAAGACTTTTTTTAACTTCATAGCACAGCTTCCACTGTGAATGCTCCACACTTCCACAAGCACTATCCAGTATAATAAATTACCAGAAGATCCAGCAACGTGAATATTTATCTGTGAATTATTCTTGACGTGACTAGCATTCAACAGAGTTCTGTGGTGATCGAGAATGAAGTATTCTCATACTTCATGACACAGTATGTCTCCTTCACCATACCTCTTCTAATTACTGCAGCAACTCAGATGGGCTTTCTACACAGAACTCCTGCTGTACCAAAACCCCTCAATTCATTCACAGAGAAATCTAGGCCACTGAATATGGCACTGCCTGTGCAAAACTAAGTATATGATCTTACAATGAGAGTCTGTACCACGACGCATACATACAAAAAAAATAGTTGGGGTTTTTTAAAGTTACTTTCAATTTTCTGAATTTTGACAATTTTTTTTTTTTTTCAAATATTTTAGTATTTTTGTATGCATAATTTCTTAGGTTCACAGCTCTTTTCTTATGGCCATATTTCAGAAGATACCAAGAAGGCCTCTGTCATTCCAGCCAGCAGATCCATATTCTTTGTGAGTATTTCCACACTTACTTGAGTACAGAGGTACATTAAGTCTCTTACCAACTATACTTGCAAGTCTGTGGACTTTTCCTGTATTGCATTCTCTGAACAGATCTGAAACCATTTCTAAGTTGGAAAAAACCCAGGAACTATTTTCCTAGCTTGGGATCTTACCTACACAGACTTTTCATTCTACCTGGACAATAAACAAATAGACATAATCACACAAAATTTTAAGAAGCAGTGAAGCCTGTGCCTGGATTTCAGTAGAAATTCCAACACCATTGAAAGTAATTATTTTCCAACATATTTACTGTGAGACATGTGTTGGCAGTTACAACTGCATAATAACTGGATATTCTCGGGTTACTGTATTATATGGACACATGTACTGCAAGTTTCATATTTCTTGGAATTTAGTAAGAATGTAAGAGGCTCGGTGACTGATCTGGGACCAGGACCAAGTCCAACATGCCACGCAATGCTAAGACCTGCAGCTCAGTGTATAACTTGCTGACGTATGTCAAGCGCTGACAGCATTAAAGTTACAAGATTCAGACACCACAGGCTTACTGCTCAAAAGGCAGCTTCTGACCAAAGTGAACTTTACAGATATAAATTCTCATGTGTGTCCCTTTTTGTTTCAGTTCTCTTTTCACTCTTCCATGGCACTACAGTTCCCTACCTTATTTCCTTCATCATCCTTTGGGTTCTAGCAATAACTTTACTACCTAGTCTTCAATCTTTCTCCAGATTTGCTCTTTGGCATTTCTCTTATTGCTGACTTATCCCCTTTTCTGCAATCGTGATTCATTGCCAGATTTGTCCCCTATGTTCTTGTTCCAAAAATCTTCACATCAAATCTGTTATTGCCATGCACTCCTGCATAACCAAGTGTATCTCGCCTCTTCCTTCATTCTTAAGCTCCTTGACACAGTCTTTCAGCAGCCAAAATATATAACAACTAAATTACCTTTTCAGGATTATCTACTTAACTAGTTACTGTCATTAAAAAAAAACCAAAACCCTGAATGGACTATTGATTTTGTCCTAGTTGCACAAAGTTTCATCTTATAACAACATGACTACAGAGTTTACATTTATGCAAATTAAAGACATTTATATGCAGATTTTAAAGGGCAAGAACAGAATGTTTGCACACATAGAAAAACTGGGAACACCAATGACATGAAATTAATAATATGCCAAGCTATGAAAATAAAAAAAGAAAATTTACTATAGTTAGATTGCCATTTATATTTTTAATTCCCACAACATACTTATTCTACTATACCAACCCCTTTGATACTCCAGCTCTGTCATTTACTATCTTCACTTCTTTCACAGTGCCATACTGAGCAAAAAACTTCCTCAGATCACTTTCATTAGTCTAGTACAGTAAACCAAGAGGGGGGGAAAAAAAGAAGAAAGGTTAGTTTGCATAGTTATTCAATGAATATTTACCATAGGACTTTTAATGGATATATTTTGGATAAAGTTTTCTACAAACTAATTATAACCCTGGATATGAAAAGAATCTGCATGTATGAGCTTCACAGCTCCTGTTTAGTTACTGCATTTTCATATTCAGCAATAATGCTAGAAAGCCACTAATGTATTAAAACTCCTCTTTTATTTGTTTTATGTAACAACCATCCTTTTACAGGTAAGACCATTGAAGCAGGTTTACTAGATCTGAATTTTAGTTTCTGTAAATTATGTACTAGAACACTGTTTACAATATGAAACACCACTGCAATGGTTTCAAACTTCAAAACAGCAGAGTATGTAGGCTTCCATAAAGGACAGGCATACGTCACATATGAAAACAAACCCTACTAAATCACAGTGACATAACAGTAAAATCCATCCAATATACAACAATACCTCTGTTCTGAAGTATAGTTAATGTAAGACTCTGCAAATACATATAGGCACACCATAGGAACCCCCCATTATACATTAAGAAAAGGTCCTTTTAGTGGAGAACAGTATGAATCCACTTGGAAGAAATCATTCCCTTCTGAGTATGCATGGAGTAAGACAAATTCCTATGATAAAGGCACACCTAAGCTATGTGAACACTTGCCTACCTGCTATGAAACCATTTTCTTTTACAATGTAAGCATATATCAAATATGGTGCCCTAAAACCAACATTTTAGATTTTGAAGTTTTGTTCTCCACAGTCCTTAGTTCATACTATGACTAATGCTGGAACAAGTATGCCTATATGCATGGATCTCTGTATGCTTCAAGCAATTTCCATATTCATCTACACTTTCCATTATTTTAAGGAAGTATATCAGAAGTACTATTTTACTGCTAAGTGAATGACTTTCATTGTTTTTAACTATAGGTATACAATTTAGTAAATCCTCTGTCCTACACATCAAAGGCTTAGTCTGCTTCATCCAAGTTTGAGAAGCAAAAGGAACTTAAAAGAAACAAAAAACAAATTTAAACAGCTTTCATAACTGGAAAGAACATGAAGTTTTTTTCTCTTAAATAATTTTACCCTCAAGACACATTTTACAAACATAAATAATGCAGCTTGCTTGCTACAACGTCTAAATTCAGCAGAGAGCAATGATGGTAGAAGACTGCTTTATCTCCCTCACTAATCCAAGTAATCAGGCGTCAAAACACTAGAAAATATTCAGTTGCTCTAGAAGTGTAAGGAATGACAACAGGTACAAGTGCACTGAATAGGCATGAAACACTTCAATGTTTTATTAAAGCTCAGCAATTGTGCCCTCCCCTTGGAAACTGCCTGCACTGGTTCTTAGGCAACTACCCACCACCAACAGGTTAAAAAAATACTGACTGGAGAGGAGAATTTCTCTTGATTAGATTATCACACCTTGCACACAAACAGAAGCGTGAAAGCCTGTCTACATAAGAAAACAGATTCAGCCAAGCAACTGATAGTTTATATAAAATAATTCTACAGCATATGCTAAACTGTTTGTATGTTCTGGAGTAAAGAAAAGTACATACAAAGTACAAAAGACTTGTAGTGAAGATTTTCCTTTCCATTTAAATTTTCTCCAATTAACATCAAAACATGTCTGCTTAGAAATGAAAGGTCTATAGATAAAAAATTCCCACTTCTAGAAGATTGCTTCTTTTAAGCTCCATAGGCTACTTTAGCTCAGCTGTTTCACAAAGCTGAGAAAAAGAACTTAGGACAAAACAGCTGAAGGCTAAAATACACCAAGAAACAACCAAAGAACCCTAAGATTGATCAGTGTTGAAAGCATCATTTGGTACCTCAAGGACATGAGGGATGGCTACACAAGACTATAAACTTGGAAAGCCAAAGGTTTATCTGCAGAACAACATGAAAATGTACCCAACTAACTTCTCTTACTGAATTGTTTCTCTAAATTTAAGAGGCCAGATGTTTCCTCTTACAAGTAGGAATAACTGCTACGGTGAAAGATTAAGTGGAAGTGGCTGGCAAAATGATAAAAAAGCTTGCTGGAAAGCAAATAATTTCTTGTGAAGTGTCTCCCTTTTTCACAAAAATAAATAAATAGCTTTTTTACCCTGCCCCAGCTAACTTTAGTAAGACCTTTGGAGTAAAAAACCAACAACACAACGCTTTTTTTTACCATAAGATCTGCAATAAAAAACAATCCAAGACTGATATATATATTTGAACAGAAATTTAAGACTCTACTTGATATCAAGAGTGATAGTAAATGGCAGAGTAGCTAAAACATCTACAGAGGTTTCATCCTTTTTATTTCCTCTGCCAACAAAACCCATCTTCTCTATGCTTACAGATACAAACACACAATTCCATTCCTGTTGTTCAAATGAAGATTCATAACAGATTTTGACCTATCAGCGACTGAACACTAAGTCAGACTCTTCAAAATGAAGAATAAATATGACAATTAACAAGAATATTGATATTCTATCCAGAACATTGTGTTTTAACCTTTGAAATTGGAGTGAAGAAAGAACAGAGCGAGACAGGTCTTTTTACAGCTCTAGTAACTTGCTTACTATTAATGCAAAAAGCTACTGTGCCTCTTTGCTAAAGCCCAAATATACTGAAGACCTCATACAACAACTCTTGAATGATGAATGCCAAATGAGCCAGAAGATCCTGGAATTTCTTTCATTTATTATGCAAAATAGTCTGAGTAAATTATCATCTGAGTCAGCTCAAAAGGTCCTCAGCCTAGGAGGATTATTAAGGCAGTGAAGATACTCTTGATGAGAATAAAAACAGCTAGGCAGACCAAAAATGTATTGCAAAAGTCAATTACTTAACTCATTATCTAAAGCAGTAAGAAAGAAAAAGTGAGAGCAGATAGTATAAAGGTCTGTTGTGTGTCTTGTCACAAATGTTAAAAGCAACTAAACAATATCAGAATGGCTCAATATTCACAACTATTTGAGATTTTTAGGGCATCTGCAAAGGCACAAGCACTCTAAGAATTAAGACTAGTACTGCAAATAGTCCAAAGAAGCTTTAATATTTATTTTAAAATAAACACTTCCTTTTCAGAAAACTACTATGCTGAGAAATACACACATTGTAGCTCCTTCTTCATAGGAACTGGAAGAAAAGCACTATGGGCACTGAAGCTACTCGCATTTGGTCTGTTTGCAATCTATAGCATTGCTTTTACAGTTTATTAAATTACACTAAGTGTTATACATGACAAAAAACTTCTACATACTTTTCTGCCCATAAGCTCTGCTGATCACAAAAGCCATCTTCTTTGAAGAGATAAAATTCTGAAGAACAAGCACATCAAAAGCTTCTAGCAGCCAGCTGTACAACTTCACAGTACAGTTCTATAAATCAATGCTTAAAGCTTTATTCCTTACAGTAGATTTGAACATTATAGTGAGGGGTACTTACCACCTAAAGAAACACACACGATAATGTCTCACATTTTTTCCTATTCATTCTTACAGGGTTATAAATTATCATTTAGTACTAAAACCAGGAAAAAAATACCTTAAAATCAATTCCTCCTACAAAGATGCGATTTGGAGTAACTGTTCCAAATCCTGGAGCACTGCTCAGATTATTTAATGCCACCGGTGACACAGTGTTGGGAGATGAAGGCAAAGATTCTGTTTGCGTCTGATTTGTGGTCTGCTGATTGAAAGAAAATATTTTCAATATTTTACATGTTACAAGCTATTAAATTAAAAAATTCTCAACACTTTCATTGGAAAACCTTTTCAGAACAAACTAATGTTGCTTTACATAGTCAATCCTAACTGTGAGATGAGAGCTGTAAAGCAGACATGTAGAATTGTCACTAACTTGGCTAACAGGAATTGCAGTAGAGGCTTCAGGGCAATTTTTGCTGCGGTGTTTTTGTTTGTTTGTTTTCCCTGACAAGCAAAGTTTACTAAAACCAGTCTTGAGCTACAGTGCCCTGACAGTATCACTAAGGAAGCAGTCCAAAGTGAAAGACAAGCAGCCTCTTCAGACAGCCATTAACAAGACTAATAGTTGGGAGAGTAGTGAAAACTAGAAGTAGTTTCTTTGAAAGGACACCAAGAAAAATGCATTTTTTTATCATTGTGTAACCCTTAAAATTCGTAGTGAGGACCAACAAAACACATGCAACCATATTTTAAAAATAAAAAGCTACTGCATCTAGTACAAAGTTCTTTCACTTCTTGTGGCATCCATCTTTCAGCCTCTCAAAAACTAAAGCAGAAAATGAAGTGCTCTTAAACAGTTCTCCTCACAGAATCCTCCTCTCATTTATACTGTCCCTTTTACTTGCCGATTTGGCCTCTCACTTATGCACAGCACAGTATTTTGTCCACACTGACAGCATTTTCTTATCTCTGCCTTTAAGCATTCCCGGATAAAAACAAACCACTTATCTTTGGGAGAACACACAAAAAATAAAGGCTGAAAGTTAAAGTGCAGTGAGAAACAGAAGACCAATAATGAGGAAGAACATTAGGAAAAAAAGTTATCTTTTTGTTTGCCCCACAAGCCCTTCTAGGATTATTCAATATTTCCTTAGCTACCTGAGCATTACTCCCCTTAATCCCGAGTAATGGGTTAATGCCATTGTTTTGGATACCTTAAAGACAATAAATCCAGCTTAGTCCACACACTTTTAGTTTTAGGTAAGACAAAAATCCTTTCCAAGTTTACTGAAACATACACATTTGGGGCAGAGAAAAAACTCAAGTCTTTAGCCTGATCTATTCAGGAGAAAATATGCATTTCTCCTACTGGGAATACTACCCTAGAATTTTCTAACAAAAAAAACCCCAACCAACCCCCCCACACTTAACATGCAAGGTTACCCTAGAATTTTCTAACCAAAAAAAAAACCCAACCAACCAACCAACCCCCCCACACTTAACATGCAAGGAAAAATCATCATCACTACAGTCCCAAAGGCTTTAGGAGGAGGAATGTTTCCCACTGAGAAGAACTTTCGAAGGATGATGAAACAGGTCACTTTCTCAATCTCTCACACCAATACAATATACTACTTGGATCATCACCTGCAAATTGTGTACAGCACTAAAAAATGCTAAAATAGCATTTAACTATAAAGTAACAATTAACAGCTGACACCACCGCCAAAATGTGTTTCTTACCTCAAAGATCTCAAATTTCATCTTCTCCATACAGGTTTTAAGAGTTGCAAGTCTTATTAGAGAAAACCCCAAAAACTAACACCCAAAAACCCTCCCACCCCCCAAAAAAACCCAAACCAACCAACCAAACCCCAAACGAAAGGACTGAGGAATTAAAACACTTAACTTGTGAGCTCCCAATACAGAAAACCTCAATGAATTTTTAAAACATTAAAAACTGTATTCTGATAACTACCTCAAACAGGTTCCTCCCTTTAATGTCAGTGTAGCAGTAGGAAAAAAGCATTAAAAACAAAATCAATGCACTAACAGCATGTCACTTGCCTAATAATTTGTGCTTCTACAGGTTTTTAAACTCACTTTTTTCCCCACCCCAAACAGTATAGATATGTATATCCATCAGCATTTTTATCGGTTATTTAGCTTGTCTGACAACTGCTCTTTACTAGAACCGGTAACTTTCCATTTTTATGTTGAACACATCCACAGTCAGGTAACCCAACACGACAAAGGCCTGGTGATGGATACCACCTTGCTCCCTAAACAAGGCTTTTGTTACAGTCCGCATGCTACACCGTCAGGAATCAGCCCCCACCTCTCCCGGGCACCGGGTATCCCCGGGGCAAGGGGAGCGGATCGCCAGAACCCGCAGCCACCCCAGAGAAAATGGCGGCGTCCCGAAGGGGG